ATTGTGAGGATCAAATGATATAATATATATAAGGCATTTTGCAAACCTTAAACTGACACATATTAGTTATGATGATAAGGATGAGAATGAGGATGATGACCACAATGACATTTAGAGGAAAGAGATGTTATTATTTGTCTTTTATTTTTGAAGAGGACCAATGACATCACGGAGCAACGTCTTGACTTGTGAGTGAATTGGATTTAAGTGGGGCAGAGTCGCACAAAGTTGTCAGTCTCACTCTCTCTTCCAGTCATCAAAGCCCAGTGGCAAGCCAGAAGTCAGGATGACTGCGATGGCCCACAATGCAGTGGGTGACCTTGGCATCTTTGATGTTTGATCAAGCTCTAAATACCCATAGCACCTGCTTCAGTCGGCTTCATGGGCACTGAACAAACAATTCTTATCTGCTCGTTTTACTGGGGCAAGTCTTCACGTGCTTAGGGTAGTCAACTCCCTAACTCACAGATGGGTTTGAGGCCCATCGGTTACCCTCAACCTGGTTTGACCCATCTGCTCAGATGGTTTACTGAGTTGTGGTCGCTGCACATGGTACAGTTTCTTGGAGCCACAGGTGAGAATTGAGTGCCAGGTAGATACCAAAGCAGTCCTGAAAACGGCTCAGCAAGCCCTCACACCACAGTTACTAGTGCTCCTTGAACACCCTATATAACCCCAGGAAGAAAGAGCACTAAGGGCAGGCAGGAGAGGCTTTCCATAGAAGATAGTGTGACTGAGTTGTTTTAAAAAAAAGCTAAGGAGACTAAAGATAAGGACCTTACCTCTTTACCAGAGAAACTGAAGATATTCACCATGAGTTCCTTCTTCTCCCCTTCTTCTCATATCATATCACTCTGGTATCATCCCCCATTATTTCTTTATTCACTCCAATCTTTGATGGAAAAGGATCTTCTTGCTAAGGTCAACCCTTCTATTTGCACCCTTGATCTCATCCTCTCCTGTCTTGTCCAGCAGATTGCCCCCAATATCATCTTCACTCTTTCTCTCTACTTACTCTCTCCCTGATGCCTACAAAAAATAAACAAAACAAAAAACCCATGTGTCCCTAGCCTCAAAAACCCTTCACTTAGTCACTTTCTACCAATCTCTATGACTTTGGGCAGATTAATTATCCTTACTAGGCCTTGTTTTCCTCTTCCATAAAATGAATAGATGTTCCTTAAGATCTCTTCTAGCTCCAAATCTATAGAAGTTAGTTTAGGCACTTTTATCTATAGGTGTAAATCTAATTAGATTAAAAAATTCAAATATAGTACAGTAAAATACATTGCTGTAAAATTTTGTATCACTTAACCTACCCTGTAGATCAAAAACTATTTAGAAGAGAGGCAGAGAAAAGAGTACCGAGCACAGTTTTGTAGTTTAATTTCTGACACCACAAGGAAAATTTAAAAAAGAAAAGAAACAATATATATCTCTGTTAATTTGAAAATAATTATCTCCCGTTAAGTTGAGCTCCCTACTTTCAAGGATCCATATGCAGCTATATATACCTAAAGTAAAGGTGGAGACCTTCCATTCATCAAATTAATTTCAACTATCCTTCAAATAATTACCAAGAGATAATAGCCCCATTTATGCCAATAAGAATGAACATAACACAGAACTTTGGCCAGATGTCTTTTTTTATTCATAATTTCTGAAAAGGCTACAAAACAAGAACATTATTCCTTGAAGGTCAATCTTGATATTTTCATTTTCTCTCTCTGTCTCTCCTCCCACCCCCTATATGTTTGTCTCTCAGCCATCTCCTTTTCTGTGTACTCTTGCTTTTGCATATCGGTGACTTTCATTTCCCCATTATTTTCCCTTTCACCTTTGTCTGTCTTCCTTAACTAGTGCAATATAGAATAGAAGTTCATTTTTTATTATTTGTTGTATTTATTTTACTTTGGGGGTTTTTTTGTTTGTTTGTTTTGACTAGGCAATGGGGTTTAGTGATTTGCCCAGGGTCACATAGCTACTAAGTGCTACGTGTCTGAGGCCATATTTGAACTCAGGTCCTCCTGAATCCAGGGCTGGTGCTCTATCCACTGCGCCGCCTAGCTGCCACTATTGTTATATTTATTAAATAGAGTTTCCACTTCCTTGTTCTTAGGCAGTATGATGAAATAGAAAGAGAGCCAGCCTTGAAGTCAGAAGTCTTAAGTTCAAAAACCCCTCTGACATACATTCTGAATGTGTGACTTTAGGAAAATCACTTATACTCTCCCTGACACAATCAAGTCTCTAAGACTGTAAGTCTTGCAGTGACAGTAATGATCTGTATTAATGTGAACGTTCCCACTTTCCAATAAATAGGTGGTCAAATGACATGAACAAATAGTTTTCAAAAGAAGAATAGCAAATTATTAACAACCATATAAAATAATGCTTCAAATCACTAAGAGTAAAAGAAATGGAAAGCAAAGCAACTATGATACTTCTATTTCACACCCAGCAAACTGGCAAAGATGATAAAAATTGGGAAAAATTAATATTGATTGGACTACATAAAGGTAGGCATACTAATGCATTGTTGGTGGAGTCATGGCCTTTCTAGAAAGAAATCTGGAATTATGCAAATAAAGTAGCTAAAATGTCCTTAACCTTAGACCTAGAGATTCTACTGCTAGGCATAAACCCCAGGAGGTTGACAAAAAACAAGGCTCCATGGATGCTAAAGTATTTATGAAAATATTTTTTGTAGTAGCAAAGAACTGGAAACAAAGATGCCCATAGATGGAGAATGGCTAAACAAATTTCAGCACATGAATGTAATGGACTATTACTGTGCTGAAAAAACAACAACAACAATGAATAAAAAGAAGTATAGTGAACTGAAGCAAAATGAAGTAAATAGAACTAGGAAAACAATGGACACAATGACTGAGAAGATGTAAATATAAAGAACAACTACCACAAAACAAACAGGAATGATAAGGAATTATAAAAAATGTGATGACTAATATTGATAGACTTAACCCTTCTCAGCAATACAAGGATCTAAGACATCTCCAAAGGCCTCATGATGGAAAATGCTATCCACATCCAAAGGAAGAACTATGAAGTTTGAATGCAGATCAAAGCATACTATTTGCTATTTTTTTTCTTCTGTTGTATTTTGTTTGCTCTTTCTGGTGGTTCCTCCTATTAGTTCTAATTCTTACTTACAATATCACTAAAGTGAAAATATGTTTAATAGAAATGTATATGTATGTGTGATGTCTATGTTCAGATTGCGTGCCATCTTGGGAAGGGAGGGGGAGAAAAATTTAAAACTCAAAAGCTTATGGAAGTGACTGTTGATAAAGCAAAATAAATTAATAAAAATAAGTGAAAAAATAAAATAAATATTGCATGGCTCACTATTTAAAAAAAAGAGATTATAAAAAACAAACTTTGCCCCAAAGAAGATATAAGAACACCTTCATATGACTTTACAAGGGACAGGGGTCCCCACTAGCATTGGAAATTGCATATAATGTCAGATTCTTTTGATTAAAGATTTTTTTTCCTCTTCATTTTTTTAAAGTCTTTGTTATAAAGGATAGCTCTCTGGAAGGGTCAAGGGGATTGATCTGAGGGGAAAACTAGGCAATGTGAAAACAGAAGATGTCAATAAAAATCTATTTTTTAAAATAGTGTGACTTTTAGGGGGCAGGGAAAGGTGGGTTATTTGAGTCCCTAAATCAATGAAATCATAGTTCCTGTGAAAAAATTCTTAGGCTAAAAAGTAGATAAGGACACTGCCTGTTGCTGTCATTTAAAAAAAAAAATCCACAACCAACCCTAAATTTAACTTTCTGTTAGTGGTCTCCCATAGAAAAATATTCCCCTACTTCTACTCTACAGAAAAGGTGAAATAACTTTAAGTGATGCTAAGCAGTAGAAGAAGATTCACTTAACAGTAGTACAAAGGCAGAAAACCTTTAGGGAATCTGATTTGGGTAATTATGTGTGATCTCTGTAATCCAGTCATAAATCCAATTAGATATAATCTTCTGTTCTCTGTCCCAAGCCACAGAAGCACATCAATTATTCAGAGTCACGTGTGGCATAATGAAGGACATGTGATCTAAAATGAGAGGTTTAAATTCAAAACCTGCTTTGTGACTTCCAACCTGGGTGACCTTTAACAAGTCACTTCACTTTGGGAGCTCCTGTTTTCTAATCTATAAAATAAATGTGTTGGACTCCATGATCCCTAAGGTCCTTCCCATCTTTAAAGTCTATGAACCTATGACCATGAACAAGATACTTATTCTCTCTGAGCCTCTGTTCCCCCATCTGTAAAATAATATTCAGACTACCTCACTGGGTGGAGGGGCTTTAAAAAAGTAAGAGTATTATTATCTTATGGTATATAGAAAAATTATGGCCAGAAATACTGATTGCTTTGCAATGCTTTCCCATTCCTTCAAAAGTATAAAAAGAATTCATTTTTCAAATTAAATTCAATTAAAGTTAAATAAAATGAATTTTGTAGTAAGATTATATTGAGAAGTTTGCTCTACTTCTCTTTATATAATAAGAATCATCCCAGAGTATCATAAAACTGAGAGTGGGAAACTTTGATTTAATATTACTGGAAATCTCATGAGATAAATAATGAAAAAGATCAAGATTCAAATAGGTGTCATCTCCAAATCCAGGACCCATCTAACAAAATCCTTTAATACTTAACATGGATTAAACCCAAAAATATTTCTCTTAAATGAAAAACAACAGAGACCCTCTCATGACATTAACAAGAGAGGTACAACCTACAGATTAAAAAAAAATAAACAGAATATGTATTTTGAGGAGGTCATGAGCTTCATTACAGCCCATTTAAGTTTTGAAAACTATCCATATGATCTCCTTTTGGAACTACCACAGTTAAGCTAAAACTTCACAGTAGAATCTTAGAAGGCAAACAAATATTAGTAAATAATGAAAATACTTCCACTATAGTTCATAATAGATTTATAGTCACATTTCATCAATCTAGGACTCACCGATCTGGCAGTCACACCTATTAGGACACAGCAAAGAACCTGAAAGTAAGCAAAAACCCATCTGAGCAGCCAAACATACGTCATAAAGTCCATATACTACAAGCACATACACTTTGCTCATGGGACCACCCCTCAAGCTTTTGCTCAAAGCCTGTTTATTCTTATTTCCCACCCAAATTTAGCAAGCTTAGACATATAATTCCCAAGTCCACAGAAAGTGTAAAGTAGATTAAAAAGGAAAAAACTCCATCAAGACACAAGCCAGATAAATGAATTAAAATCATAGCAACTTAAGTCCATTTTGCACTTAGGCAAACAGCTCTACAAATTTCAATAGGCCCCAAGGGCATCAATGTACTCAATATGTACATTGTACATGTGTGTGTATGTATGTGTGTGTATATATACATATATGTATAATAATATGTACTCAAAGGGATGATGGTATTATTATTCTTATTCTTCTTCTTATTATTATTATTATTATTAACAGATCAAAGTTAAATCAGGCTTATGGTAACCCAAGTCATCAAAAATGGTTAAATCATGATCAGTAGAGTATGCAGATAAGTAAACTATACCCTGTGGGCCAGAGTCAACCACCTGTTTGTGTCCAAGAGCTAAGTATGGTTTTCTCATTTTTAAATAAAGTTTTATCATATTTAAAAATGTAAAGACCATGCTTGGTTTTCCAGTGTACAAGAACAAGTATTGACTGGCTAGATTTGGCCCTAAAGCTGATCCTAGTATACTTTGTTTAAGAATGAAGGAAAGTAGGGAAAATTTCAATGTCAAATTGGGAAATATTTTTTTAAAAAGTACTGGTGCCTAAAAGCATCAGATATCCCAAAAACCTTTGCAACTTAGATAACTCATTACTGGAAATGTTAGACAGCTAAGGTTATGGCATACTTTGATAAAATTCTATTTATCCACATACCATTCAAACCAGGGCTTTTTAAGCTTTTTCCATTCGAGATCCCTTTTCTAGAGAAATTTTTATGCAACCCTGGGTATATAAGGTATATAAAATAAGTATACAAATCAAACATTTACTGATAATAAATCATAAAGAATTTTATTTTTAAAACAATTCTTTGGTATGCATTTATTTTTATCATTTATTAAAAACTAAAGCAAATTTGCATACTAATGAGATGGATATGCTTATTTATTTTTACATAAAGAATTATATCTTTACAGAATATTTGATACTGCAGGATGTAAAGCATCTTCAACGGTTTTCAGAGCTGATCAATATTTTGATTTTATAATCGTCAATGCTATGTTCAGAGCCAGAAACACCTCAGATTCACTATGTGTTTGATTTTGAATTAATTTTTGGACATTTCACATTCAGAAATCTTTCACTGTTGCCAAATTTTTTGCAACTCCCACATTCAGTTATATAGGGTTACAATCCACAGTTTAAGAAGCACTGTAAGACCATACTTTTGGTGGTACACAGGACCCACTCTTTCTTGCATTTCTTTTATTTTCCTTTTTGTAATAGTACTTCCTTTGCCTTAAAAAGTGGTGCTGCTATTATTTTAGTAAGTAGAATCCATTTATAAACAGTCAATTATCAGATTAGCAAGAAGTAAATTATCTAGTTAGAAGTTTAAAAACCTGTCTATCCAGCTTCGAATTCTAGAATTACTTCACTGTGCATTAACACCTCCAACTGGAAATGGAATGAAATGCAAAAGATTTGATAAATGATCGATGAAGTTAAAACCATCGACAAGTAAGATTTTTGCATTATCCATGTTTTATCTCTATTATATAGGCACAGATTATCTACACTGGATGCATAGGTATAGATACAATAACAGATCAATCACACAGTTTAAAAAGAACCCAAAAAGAATATAAAAGTAAAATTCTGTTCAGATTTTTAAAAAATTAAACTATCTAGAATTTAAAATGTCACTAACCTAACTAGTTTGCACAGCAGACTTTTTACTTTACTAAACAATGGAGATAATTACCTAGGATTTTAAACAAAAACCTTTGAAGTGTGTTAAAAACAAGAGAATTGCTATGTCCAGAGACTTATTAATACAAAAGCTCTGTTTAGTCTACAGAATCCAATACTAAATTTCCAAATGTTCCTGCCAGATACTCATACCTTAAAGCAGGGTAAATTACTGACCCTTTGCAAAAAAGGAAATAATTTCAAATTTTTATTTTGCTCTCTTGCTCAGCAGGAGAACACGAGTTTAAAGGTTTTGTTTGTTTGTGGGTAGAAGGGAGGAAGGGGGGGGATGATTTCATCAGGGTGGAGAATTCTCAGAGAGATGAAAACTTCATCTATGACTTCAAATCAGATAGATCAGCTATACTCATCTACATCATCTGAGAACATCACCTGGGTCACTGAATGTTTAAATGAATTGCCCAGGGTCACATAGCCAGGATTCAGGAGAAGCAAGACTTAAATGCAGACCTTCACAGGTCTTCCTAACTCCAAACCTAGTGTTTTATCTGCTATTTTGCCCTTCTTCTCTTGGAGTCTGTGACCATAATTAAACTACATATTTCTTTAGTGCTTTCATACACTGGGACAAAGTCCAAGACAATACATTAACTCAGGCAAGCATATTCTAATTGCTTCTTATGCTTTTGAAAACTTTTTAAACTCCTATTTCAATTTTTCCCAGCATTAGATTTTGAAAAGCTTTCCAGTCTGTTCTTTTTTGCTTTTTCTCTTCAATAATCAAGAAGATTAAGTATTCCAATCAAGAGCATCTTATAAAAGTACTTATAAATATTTTCAAGGTGTATATTTATTTTCATTTTTTGTAAATACGTGTGTATGTATCTTAAAATGGTCCTAAAAAACAATCAAAATATTTTTAACATATGACCATAGTACTTATCAATAACAGTTTACCTAAAGCTAATTTTTTTTTTTGAGACACTAACAGGTTACTCTCCATGTACAAGTCTTCAGTCTTCTCTTAGAATCATAAACCTTGTTACACTTTCAAATGAAAGATGCCAAACACAAAAAAATTTATGAACTTGATAGAAAATAAGCAAATAATCTATTTCCAATCAATCAATCAACAGCATTTATTAAGCACATACTATGTGCTAGGCATCCCATTAAGCAATGAAGAGACAAAAATGAAACAGTCCTTACTCTCAAGGAGCTTACGTTCTAACAGATTAAAAGTGTGTGTGTGTGTGTGTGTGTGTGTGTGTAAAACATTAAGTAAGCCCCCAAGGCTCTACTGAAGAGTGCATAGAGGGAAATCACATATAAGAAGACTGGAAAGGTAGAAGCACCCAGGTTACGATGAGATTAAGAAACAGAAGAATTTATATATGATACTAGAGGTAATACTGAGTAATTGGAATTTACTTCAGAGAAGTGGGGGCAGGGCATGTGTGTCATGGTTAGAAATTACATCTTAGGAAAATCACTTTGATGGTTGTGCGAAGAATAGATTCAGGAAAGGATAGGCATGAGGTATGGAGAGACAAAAAGGAAGTCATTTCAATAGTCTATTAGAAATTAAATGACAAGATTTGGCAATTGGATATGTGAGGATATGTGGGGTAAGTGTGAGGAGTGAAAGAATATGTTAAAGTTGCAAACTTGGGCTACTGAGATAATGGTGGTATCCTCTACCCTAATACGGAAGTCTGTAAGAGAAGTGAGTTTGGAAGAAAAAAATAATGAATTATGTTTTGAACATGTTGAGTTTGAGATACCTAGATATATGGATCTACACTGTCATATGCACTGAGATGATAATTTAACCCATGGAATCTGATGAAATCACCAAATGAGACAGTAAAGAAAGAGAAGAAAGCTGAGATCAAAGCCTTGGAAACATACCCAAAGTTTGTGGAAAAGACAAGGATGAATCCTTGAAAGAGTGGTGAGACAGAAAGGAAGAGAAACAGTAGAGAGCAGTGAAATGAAAACTTAGAGAAGTGAGTATCTAGGAGGAAGAGATGGTTAACAACATCAAATGCTGAAGAGATCAAAAAGGATGAGATTGAGAAGAGGTGATTAAGAGACCACTGGTAAGTAACTTTAGAGAAAAGAGTTTTAATTGAGTGGATGACATTGTAAACTCGATTGCAAAGGGTTGAGATGAGAGGGATAGAAGTGGAGGCATCTAGTGCAGGTAGTTTTTTCAAGGAATTTGGCTGAGCAAAAAGGCAGAAGAGATATAGTGAAATGGCAAGGATAGTAGATCTAGTAAGAGTTTTTTGTTTATTTAAAGAATGGGGGAAATCGGGATATGTTTATAGCAAGGAAGAAACAATGAAAAGGGAGAGATTGAAGATCAGGAGAGGGAGATGACTATGGGACCAATTTGCTGGAAGAGAAGGGAATAGAGAGTATTCTGGGAAGATGGAGGAATAAGACAGGAAATTACCTAGCTCTCCCAAATTTCTCCACAAATAATTTAAAACAATGCTTCAGTGAACTTTAGAGCTGCAGAAATAACTAAAAGTCAGGGTATAGCAATTGTCCAGACCAAGACAATTTGGAAGGATGTTAGGAAAGACCTGAACTCCCAGAGTGGTGGTGTGGCCCAAATGAAGTACAGATACCTTGGGGCAGATACCACTGAATCAAAAAACAACAAGCCCTAGGGGCAGCTGTGTCAGGAAGCAGCCTCAGCTTCAAGAACTTACGAACAGTGTTGGGGGGTTGAGACAGCTGATCAGGATAAGATTATAGGGCCCTCCACTAATGTTGCACATAGGACCCAGGTGCACTGACCAGATGCAGTACTGGACTGTGGCTGTAGGCAAAGAGTGAGAACACATTGGTGAATAAAGTTGCAGAGGGGCAGAGATCCTTCTGGCTGTGGTCACTCCCAGGAGAATGGTCCTTGGTTTCAGTTCCAGAGCAAAAGGGTAAACAGAAGCTTGTAGCCCTTAGAGGGACCACAGAGAGTAGGAGCATTTGTGGTGATGGTGTTGCTGGGGGTTCTGGTCTTGGCTCAGGGGCAGAGAGGATTATGTGAGATCAGGCCCCCAGATAAAGCTCAGAAAACAACAGCACAAAA